TTCAGACTTTCAGAATCTTTCATCCTTCAGCCCAGCTCTAAGGTTGGCTCTAAACTCTGTCACCCTCTGCCACACCTGTCTTCTCTTACCACTGGAAAATATGTAATGCCACATGATGTGAAAGCTCCAAACACCCTGGATGTACACGGAAAGACAGATACAATTCAAGAATGGAACCTTAAAAGCAAATAAGTTTATGATAAAATGAACAAAACTGCTTCATTAAGCTCCTGATAGATTAATTTATAAAGCATATGAATTAATTTGGGTAAGAAATTGAATTAACAGACTGATTAGCATTTTATTTTTATTTATTCCATGCTAAGCAAAGGTAAAAATAAACAATCTCACATTTCTATTATCTTACTTTTAAATTAATTTCTAAAGTTTCTAACTGTTGATCTGCTGACCTACTATATGGCAGCTACTAGTAAGATCTAGTTTGTACTTTGAAAAAATGTTGCATTTTGATTAATTTTTTTATTTTTTTTTGTATTTCGATACAAGTGCGTACCAAACTCTGTAAGTCATTTAATCTTTTTTAAAATAAAGTCTAGAGGGATTTTTACTACCTCATATACTTCTAACCCCTTGTGAAAGCTGGCAGTATCCCAGAACTGAAGTCAGCTTTCACATAAACAAAACCAACTTGTAACTGTGTTGAGAAGCGACATGCTCTTTTTTTTTACTGCATTAGTGTTCTGCTGATAACATTTTTGTTAAAGAACTGTTTCCTGTCTGCATTTGTATATCTAATAGCCCCTGGTCCCAGTCCTCAAGGCCTACTCACGCATGTTTGTAATGTTTCTCTAATTAAACTACATCATGGTATTATTTCCATAGAACTTGATGGTATGCTGAGAAGTTAATGCAGTTATTTGAATCAGTTATGCTGGATCGAGGGCCCAATTGATGGGATTTAGGTGTTTAAATGTGTGTGTGAGAATAGGTGGATGACGGAATGTTGCGTAAAGTGCTGATTCCCCTGACTTGAAAAGGTGCTATATACTGTAAGTATAGGCCATTTACCATGTTTGCAAATTCAATTTCTTATTGCAAACAAGTGTATGGTTACCACAAATTCTCTAAAGAAAAGAGATTGCTGCAGGGTCAGTAAATCGATACAATCAAGCATGCACTGCTGCCACATGCACAATTAGGAGGAGGAACTGATGAAAAATCATGAAATCAATTCAACCAATTGTATACTATGAGCATTGTCTTGTTGTCTGAGGAGGGATTTATAATTAATAATATGTCATTGTTTAGATGCATTAAGTAATTAAAAGCTGCCTCTAACTTACCCAGAATAGAGATTGCTGCAAACTAAACTACTGGATGCAACAGTGCCTATTGTTTTTTATATGCTCACTTAGGGGGGGAGAGACTGCTGCAAGGTTACCAACTCAATGAAGTCACTGTTCACTATTGCCATATGCTTGCTCAGGTAGAGGGATTGTTGCAAAGTCAACCAGTCGATGTAACCGTCTGTCCACTTTTAACAACATGCCAAGGAAGAGAGATTAGTAAGTGAAAGGATAGAGAAATTTAATCGTCCAGTGTTGTCACATGTTTACTCATGTAAGGGATTGCTGCAAGTCAACAACTTGTTGCAATCACTAAAGCAGCAGCAGTTGAATGCAATGACTTGATATAGTCAATAAGCCACTGTCATAATATTCTTATTCTGGTAAGGGATTGCTGAAAAGTTAGCACCTCAATGCAATCATTAAAGACTGGTCAGTTGATTGCAATGACTTGATAAATTATTAATTAGCCACTGTTGCCATGTTTTCATTCGAAAGGGGAATGTTTTCAAGTCAGAGACTTCATGCTATGGCCACTAACTTCTAAATCTTATGGTGTTTTATCGGAACTAAGGACATATTTGGATGATTGTAAATGAATTACAATAATTAAATGTGCCTATATAACAGATTTCAATGCAATTTCCTCCACTAAGGAGGTCATTAATTGGCAGCATTGGTTGGTTTGTCAGTTTTGCAAGATTCTGTAAAAAAAAATGAAGTCATTGGCGAACTGCTTAGAAATTTCTACCACGTCTATCTTACCTTACTTTAAATGCATTACATTGTTGTGGTGATCTGGATCACAATCGCAATGAATGATTCTTTTCAGAGTAAAGGCTTTTTATAGTGTAAGGCATGTCTCTCTAGGGGCACCAGGGCACTATAAAAGGTAACTTAAATTTTGGATAATGTTGACAAATGGCCATACTGATTTATAAATTGACCAGGATTGAAGATGATGAAGCTGGCTCTGCATAATTGTACTTCCTATAGTAATTTTAAGAAATTACATTTTTGGAAATTTTTATATTTGTAACTGTTTTTTTCTGTATGTTTTTAATGTGGACCCCAGGAAGACTAGCTGTTTGCCATGGCAACAGCTAATGGGGATCCTTAATAAAATTACAAAATTACAAATTATAACCAAACTTCAACTTCTGCAAACCTCTTCTCACCTGACACTCCGACAGGGGACATGTGCTCCTTCCCCATGGTGCTTTAGGACAACACAATCAACACAAAGATGCTTTAAAGGAAGTTTAAGGTGCCAAAAACAGGAGAAGTTAAACATTTCAGAACAAAAAAAACATGCTTTGGGCCTGACATGCTGCTGAATACTAGAGACAACTGTGATTTACTGCACAGGAAGTGTTGCATTTCTTTCTTTCTTTTTTATTTTTTGCTAGAGATCAGCAGAGGTTTGGCTTTTTGATGATTTTTGAACGTTTCATGTGTTTACTGTTGTGTAACACAGATTAAGAATTTGGGTCACATGGTACGCTATGCTCACATAGTTTAAACACTAATATAACATTTATGTTTTTTCTCATATGCTCATTAAACCAGAATATGACCAAAGAGTCCTTTAAGAGGAGTCCCTCCATGTCTAGCGGCTGCTAGTGTCATAGTTCTGGTTCTGTTATGTTTTCTTTTGAGTTTTCACTTTTACTTTTCTCCATATTTTCTTGTTTTAGTGGTTTAAATCTTATTTTGTTGTGTTTTCTGGTTGTTTTCAGGGTTTTTTTCCCCCTCTGCTGCCCTCTTGTGTTCTTCTCTTTCTCTAGCTCTTTTTCTGTCTGCTCTCTTCACACCTGCTCCTAATTTGCTTGTTACTCCTTTCTTTGTTTCAGTCTCCCATAAATACACTCTCTGTTCAGTTCCTCTGTGCTGGTTCCTTATCAAACTTCCTCCAACTCCATCTCCCTGAGTCTTCCTCCTCGTGATAGTCTTCCCCCTGATGTCTCCACGGTTCCTGGTTTGTTTGAATTTGTTTTTCATGTTTTGATTTTTGGATTCTTGGATTTCCTGCCTCCATGTTAAGTTGTTTGTTTATTCATCATTAAATCATCAAGAAACTCACCTCTGCCTCCCTGCCTCTGCATTTGGGTCCACAAACCTCAACCAAATCCTGACAGCTAGCTCAATCACAGAAGTTTAAGAATAATTTAACTAAAGGTTATTGGTTTCTGATAAATCATATTATTTAAACATTATCTTGCCAAATGTTTATTTGCCTCTTGTATTTGCATTGTGAATTAATTTAACCACATTGCAAACTCTTTGAGATAAACTTTGGTTCTCTGACATAAAATCCATGATTAAATGTGATATCATCGCCTTACTTTATTGATTATGGTTTTTAGCCACATGTTTTTCTTCTTCTTTGTGCACATAGTAAATTAGTTTAAGTTTTATAACATGAACATGTTTGACTTGAGGCTCCATGATTTTTTTTGATAAACTGTTACATTTTGAATAGAAGTCATGGTAAAATTATTCAACACGTGCAGAGTTATTCATTTGACCATAATTTGTGCTTGATTTACTCTTTCAAATGTGTTCAAAGAAGAAATGTGATACCCTAAATATATTTTGATTTAATAAAATATTTGCCGATAAACATTATTACATAACACGACCTTCATCTACATATGAGTTTAAATATTCTTCTCTAATAGCCCATTATTAATTACACCAAGAACGTAATTTATTTTTTTCCTTTCATGGCTCACAAGTTGGTGATCCGGATTATGATCCGGAGAAAGCCTTTCTGAAAAATATTTGTAACATTGTGAGATACTAAGTTAATTGGTTGAGGTCTGTGAGTGCTTTTTACCTAGCCTATATCCACAAATCTTATCCTTGAGATGACATTTGTTGTGCATATCGTTACATACTTTAGGTAAGTTAGGTTAAGTTACCTAGAAAAAAATTCTAGATTTTTTTGGCACTATTATTTCCAAGATATCCCATAACAGGTTTCTATAGAGACTTTCCGAATTGTACCGTCAGTTTCAGGTTCCTTGGCAACCTTAGATGTGAGCCCCGCCATCTAAAATGAACAGAAATAAATGTTTGGGATGTCACGATGCGTGTAATAAACCTTAATAATCTCTTCAATGAATCAAGCATCTAAATTGATAAAAATGTGCCTTATTTTGTCCTGTATTTCCTTGGTTATATCTAAATAGTCTGTTTTATCAGAAGCCATTTAGATAAAAAAAAAAAAAAAAAAAAAAATAGAGGTTTCCTGGTGAATTTCACCGAACCGTCTCTGCCATGGAGCTGTCCATGGTCCTGAAGCGTCTGCTTCAGGACCATGGACAGCTCCTTCTCCCCGCTCCACCGAACGCGGCTGGTTGATTGACAGAAGAGGCGACCAAAGGCGGATCGATGCCGCTCCCGGAGCCCCCTATGAGGGGCTGGGGAAGACGGGTCTTGGAGGGGGCGCTCCGATCCTTACGCGTCTCTCCCTGGTTTCTATAGGTCCGCTCGGTATTTGCCGCGGTCGGAAGAGGGCGGAGTGCGTTTTGTTCACCCAAGTGAGGAGCTCCCTGACTCTTGAAAAAATATATAAATATAATAACTACAAGGCTCTTTTCCCCTCCCTTCCGCGTCGTTTTGATTCAGTGTATGTAGCCCACACGCAGGGGGAGAACATCCACCGCACAGCAGAACGAAGACTGAACAAGCTGTAGGAGGTACCTGTGAAAAGAAAAACAAGGAATATCTCTCTGATTTCATCAACAGAAGTGTGTGGGTTTCCGAAATATCCTACAAGTGGTGATGCGATGGTTTAGAGGAGCAGTTTTGGTTGATTCTTCACATCACGCCCGCCTGACGACGCTGTAATATCCTCCGCGCCTCATCTTCAGACAGCTGTGGACGCTTTCTGCAGGGGAGATGGCTGTTTTCCGGCTCTCGTTGCTGCTGCATGTGGGCTTTGTGATCGGGTCGAACCGCTTAGACGCTGACCGGTCAACCATCGGGGCATCACCGGCGGAAAAGATCCCAGGCGCTCGGCTGGCGCGTCTCCGCGCACCTCGCCTTGCTCCCGGAGAGAAATCAGAAGATCATCTGCCCCGGGTGGTCACGGCTTTCTTACATACGGGGGATTCGACCACCTTAAAGCACGCCAACTGCTCAAGAAAGTACGAGCTCACCTCTCTGATGCGGGGAAGGTCACACGAAACCCCGCATTACTCCATGAGCGGCGTGCTGGAGACGGTGCTGCACGCCACTAACTTCCTTAACATGATCCTACAAGCCAACAGGTCCAAGGAGCACAACCTGCGGAGGGACATCGAGTGGTACCATGCACTGGTGAGGAGCATCCTGGAAGGGGACGCTAAGATCCACCGGGCGGTGGTCACTTTTGGTGGGGAAGCGTCGCTCGCGGGGCCCCCGGTGCTTCTCCAAGCCACCAGGGCCGACGGGGAGATTGTGCTCCAAGACCTCTCCCGCATGGCGCACCGTCATCTGCACAACCGCACCGCAGATACGGAGTGGTACCACGGGATGAAGGAAAAGAAGGAGCCTATGTTCCACAGAAGGGTTCTGAACAAGCGAGGCAGATCTCCAGAAATTGCAGAGAGTTTCATCCCGGACAGAACGCACGTCAAGTGGTCTGCGCCTTTTCTGGAGTGCGAGAATGGGAATTTTGTTCCCCGCTGGCTTCTGACCTTATCAGCTGCTTTTTACGGTCTAAAGTCCAACTTGGATCCAGAGTTCAGGTAGGAACGCAGGAAAAAAGACTCAATGTTGGTTGTTTATTGTCAAAATCTAACACATCATTTGTAGGTAACACACAACATCAACAGGTCCAATTTATATAGACATGGTTTAATCAATTTATCCCAGTCAGCTTTCTACTCATTTTGAAAAAAGTCAGGGCTTGTATTTATTGTTAAAGTTAGATATATGTGTTTCTAGACCCATCCATCCATCATCCTGAATATAATCCAATCATATAGTTAGTCAGATCGAAGCACATAATGGCCATTTCACACAAAATTATATAAAGAATAACTGAATATGTAATTTAGACTGGTATGAAGAGGCCCTGATGATTAAAGAAATCACAAAATTAGTCTTTTTTATGTAACAGGTATAAATACAAAGCTTCACCATTGTCCATTGAAAAAAAATAATAATATGAACCAAAATATTAATTCAGGTCCACTATCCGGCTGTTCATATCCAAATGTGTACACTCTTCTCTAGGCCAAACATGTAGCCTCTCGCTAACTTCCCTCTTCCTACAAAAGGGGGTTTCTCCTCTTCTCCTGTCTGACAAGGCATGCTAAAAATAACCCTGATGTTACTGGATGTAGCTGCGGTGGAAAACCTCTGGCTGCAGGCCCTGATTCATTTTTCAGACTCAGTCGTCTAGATGCTTTACTGCACAGGAAGTGTTGCGTGTCATTTCTTTTTTTCTTTCTCCTCGATGAAAAACGGCTTCTAAAATCTGCTTCATGACAAGTATAGATGAGGCAACACTAAAAATGTAAAGCTGTCTGGCTTCCTTTGCTGCACCTTTTTTATTAGTAAGATGCTTTTTTTTAAGCAACCGTATGTCTCTGTGATTTGCAAACATTGAGACTCCATAGGATGAGTTATAGTTGTGTTTACTTCCCTTACGTGATATTATTTAAACACTCTAGTTGCTCACATGCAACCATTAACAGCAAATACCTGTAGTGATTATGCTGTAATAGGCTATCAAAGAAGCTCCGCGTGTTAAGACTAAGACAATTTGACATTGATATGCAGCATTTGAGGTAATGAATATTATCCCATCCTTTTTGTTTGGATCTTTGTCTATAACTTAAATTTACCCAGTAAAAAACAAGTTTTTCTTTTTGTGTCCAACTACATTCAAACATTAATTAGCACTGGAATGTTGTAGGTTGAAGGCTAAGAAAGAAAACTGGCTTAGAAAGGTTGCACTTACCTGGTGTTCCTAATTGCTCTGCAGAGGCACCAGCCATGTCTAACCACACAAAGATGGTATTTAAAACAATTAAACAGGAGCTTAATGTTGGAGTTCTACAGTGGATCATCTAAATTAGCAGAGTTTTACCATAAAAGTGAATTTACCTTTGGAGCTTTACGCAGGTTAATGCTACCAACAAGGATATTATACAATATTCATTTCAAAAATTACAAAATATTCAAATTTTTTTGCAAGTTTTAAGACATAAATACAGAACGCAGCTAAGAAGATACGGTAGGTCTATATATGGATGGATTGATCGGTGAATGGCTTACATGTGTATAAAGTATATTTAGAAATGCACAGTTGGTGTAAGAAATATTCAAAACTCAATAAACTTAATCTTACAGTATTATATTGAGAAAATTCAAGACCACTATTTCTATTGCTGGTATTAAATAGTATGCATTGCCCCCTTCCATGTCCGATGGAGCTGATGCATGTGTTGGCATTTTCCTGCACTGAAACCCTTCACAGCTTGGTGTAATGCTCAGCTTTGTAATTTAAATCACAGCTTCTTCAAATTGGTTTCAATTCTTCCCTTAATAATAGTGCAGGATTTGAGGCCACAAAGAAAGCCTTTGTTCTGTCCTGTCACATCTCATTTTTCTGTCTGCTTGTCAGCCATCCTTCAGATGCATCAGTCTTCCAGATAAGACGCCATGCAGGGAGGGAAAGCTGGTTGTTGTAGCCTATAGCTTCCTCAGACACCCCCCTCCCCCTTAGATAAATACACAATCGATATGAAGAATTAATTAATAATGAATGATGTAGAACAACAGCTCTGCACGAGCGATGTGTATTTCCAGCCTTTTAATGCTTCCTGTTTCAGGTGATGAAGTCGTAACAACCAAGGTGACTTTTTCAGGGTATTTGACCTTTTACCCTGATTGCATGTCTTTTTTTTTGACTATTTCTATCTGTCTGTACTGCTAGGATGCCATTGGGATTCTTGAATCAATGCACTCATTTAAGAGGAAGAAACTTTCACAGGCTCCATCCTCAGGATAGATGTTAATCTTCATTGATCCCTTAGGACAGAGACATTAGGCCAGAAAACCCGCAACAAGAAATAAAAAAAAACCCATATTACTGAAAAGACAAAGGCTCAATAAACTGAAGAAAAAAATTGTCTTTGTTCTGCTGGTCTTATGCTTGAAACAGATTTAAGAATCTACTTCAAATTTAAAAAGTGATCATAATCATTTGTTTTTCAGTCTTTCCTAAGCATTTCCAATTTTTAATGTATAATAACAAGTCAAAGTTTCTCAGAACAATTTAAAAACTAGAAAGTTCGAATATAATGAATATATGTGGGACATAGAGAGACCAATTATTTCATTATTGTCAAGTTAAAGATGGAGGATTTTCGTTTTTCCGGGTGGATCACCAATAAGTTAATCCTCCTAATTGTCAATCATCCTGGCGATATGATGATATAAGGTTGTCCCATGTGCTCGTCCCCATTTTCACATATCGGTGGTGAGTTTGACATAGTGGAAAAATGGCAAATCTTCTTTCTTGTTTGAGCGAAACAGCAGCTTTTAAACAGAGGATGCACGAGGAGAATTGGCCTTGTGCACACTCTCGCACGCTCTGTACGTCCAAGCTTATAGAGCGTACCCTCTGGGGAGCGGGCACAGGGTTGTGCTTGTGCATTCTTTTTAAAAGGGGAGAGGGTTGGTCTTTTCAAAAATTTGCGAAAATCCTCCACTATATCTTTAACAAAAGGTAAAGTAAAAAAATCCAATGAAATCCTGTCCAGAGGTCATGGGTTAGCTTACCGTGTAACTGTTCTTTAGGTGATGGTCTGCTATATGGAAGCTTGAGCTTTTTTGCTCTTTTTGGGGCGACTTTCCAGTCATGTAAGAACTTTTCGATCGGCCCGACTTTCAGCCTGACCGTGGGTCATGTAGTGTACAGGGGGTAACGAGTGGCGATCGGCCTCTCATGACCACCTCCCAATCAGGAATCATAAGGTCCAGAGAAAATCAAACATGTCTGATTTTCTCTGGACCTTATGATTCCAGTTGATTGTCTTGGGCAAATCGCTCAGTCGGCATGAACAAACAAGGACTCTTCTTCTTCCTCTCAGATGAAAACACAGAAGCATGGCGGCGGTGTGAGGGAAATGGAGTTCTTTCTGTAAAATGACAGACCGTAGTAGCTAGTAGAGTATGTTTGCTCATCCATGTCTTTGTCCAAATACGTTGTCGGCTTTTCTTTTTAGGGCTTTCAGCACAAAATTGCCAAGGCAGAGCGTTTCACTCTAGTGAGCTTCATATTCCACTTCTACTGGTTTGGCTTCCAGATAGATGAGTCCCAGTAGTGCCATTCTTCTCCGGGGCTGAGTCCAATGTGGTTTTTAGACGTGCGCTGTGAGCAGGTAGATCGGATCAGAGCGTCGGGCCACACACAAGCTGTGAACTCACACTGTATGTTGAAACCCTCGTCGTACAGTGTGAGCTGCAGCTGCGTGCAATGACTGAAAAAAATCGTACACTGTACGCCTGGCTTTATACAACATATTGTTGACGCTGAACAGTCGTTTCCTAAAACTTCCTTCAACACAAAAATCCCACAAAAAGGTTGATGTGAGGCTGGTCTTTCGTCACCTGCAACAAGTCTTCACCAAAGGAAACTTATATCCCTTTTCTTAGCAGAAATGCATTAAGCAAAGCCAAATGGATGTTTTCAGTATTTTCTGGTAGAGAGCAGAATTCATTGTACCTTTAATCGTGAAAAGTTGCCCGGTTCCTGAAACATCAGACAATCATAGCCCCACACCCACAAAGTTTGGCTGATGAAGTAGTTCTTCTATGAAAAAGCCCACTGGATCATCATGATCATCATGCTCTTTAGAAAATGTGGGGCAGTCGTTCTTTATGGCTGTGAACTCAACCTGTTATTGATGAATCACAAGGACTGACCTTAACTGATGAAAGTGAGACCTGTGGAGCTTTAGATGCTGTTTTGTGTTGTATTTTTCCTAAATGAAACTATGATGTCTTGGAATTACCTTTGTTAGGCCATCAGCTCATCAGTTTCAGAGTTGTCAAGTAATGAAGTACAAATACTTTGTTACTGAACTTAAGTACACTTTTTAGGTATCTATACTTTACTCCATTACTTATTTTTCTTCCTATTTCTGACGTCTATTCATTACATTTTCACACAACTATCTGTACTTTCTATTTCTTACATTTCTAAAACAAATGTTACTCGTTACTCTTGGCTTCAGTTTAATGTTTATAAATATTTATTTTACATCATGTGCGCCATCCAATGCAGATCATAGGGTATGAAATATGTTGAAATGTCTGAAAGGTCGGACACAGGCGAGAGCGTATTGGGAGATGGAGACCAACAAGACCTCCCTCATCCTTTGGCCCTATCTCAAAGAATTTTTCAAAATAGTCGAAAATTGTAGCTTTCAATTCATATATTGGCATCTGCTTGTTTTTTTTTTAAAGGTTACTTTATAATTTTATACTTTAAGTAGTTTTTGGAGCAAATACTTTTTATTTTTACTTGAGTAAAGAGGTCAAGTTGATACTTCAACTTTTACCAGAGTGTTTTTAAACTGCAGTATCTATACTTCTACTTAACTAACAAATGTGTGAACTTTTGACACCACTGCTCAGTTTATAGTAGCTCTCACTCTAAATTTCTTCAGTTCCCAATCTTAAAAAAATGGACTTGCAGAACTTTTCAGGGTAATAGATGTCAATGATTATA